CCCCCCTGAAACCTCCCCCCGCCCACCCCCAGTGGAGGAGTGACCTTTTTTTTTCGTCATTCGCTCGCCTTGCAGTTCGATCCGATGATCGCTCAGATGAAAGTTACTGAACTGTCCAGTTTAAATGATTCTGACGCCTCTCCACCCGTGTGCCCCGAAAGAAGTGTCTGCTCCCGTGGCAGGAGTCCGAGCTGCAAAGTGGGCATGGCTTTCTCTCCCCCACCCCCCGTGGCAGACTGCCATCTTGCCGGTCGTTGGGAGTGAGATGCTTTTTGAGTTCACAATACCTTTTTGTATCGCTGCTATTCTTGTGGATAATGGGTGATGGGACAGGAGAGGATTTTAAACCCTGTGCAATGCAATCGATTTTCACATCTGAAGGGGTTTCACAGACATCGCCATCTAGTGGGTGAATGGTATTGCAATAGAGGGCATCGCCTCCCTATCATCCCATAATAGAGGGCATCGCCTCCCTATAATCCCATAATAGAGGGCATCGCCTCCCTATAATCCCATAATAGAGGGCATCGCCTCCCTATAATCCCATAATAGAGGGCATCGCCTCCCTATAATCCCATAATAGAGGGCATCGCCTCCCTATAATCCCATAATAGAGGGCATCGCCTCCCTAAAATGCTGGTGATTGCCATCTAGTGGGCACTGAATGGTAATGCAATAGAGTGTATCACCTCCCTAAATTCAGTATGCCATCTAGTGGACACTGAGTGGTATTACAGTAGATGGCATCACCTCCCTATAATACTATAATAGAGGGCATCACCTCCCTAAAATGTTGGTGATTGACATCTAGTGGACACTGAATGGTATTACAATGGATGGCATCACCTCTCTATAATACGGTTTTGTATGCCATCTAGTGGACACTAAGACCCCGTTCACATTGAGCGATTTATCGCGCGGTAATTCCCGCGATATCGCGCTCCAATGCACTTCAATGGGGCAAAGGGTCCTGCGGTCGTGTGTCGCTACAGCAGGACCCTTTTTGGAGCGGATTTAGCCGCGATTCAAGCTTGCTCAATGCAAGCTTGAACGCGACCTCGCGCGGCAAATCTCGCGATGTTGCGCAATATGCAAATCGCGTGACAAACGCTCGATTTGCATATTGCGCAGTGGGAACGGGGCCTAAGGGGTATTGCAGCAGAGGGCATTGCCTCCCTTAATACCGTTGTTGATTGCCATCTAGTGGACACTAAGTGGTATTGCAGCAGATTGCATCGCCTCCTTTTTAATACCGTTGTTTATTGCCATCTAGTGGACACTGAATGGTATTACAGTAGATGGTATTGCCTCCCTATAATGCTTTTGTTGATTGCCGTCTAGTGGGCGCTGAATGGCATTGGCATAGAGGCAATGGCCTCCCTATAATACTGTTTTGTATGCCATCTAATGAGCACCGAATGGTATTGCAGTAGAGGGCATCGCCTCCCTAAAATGCTGCTGATTGCTATCTAGTGAGCACTGAATGATATTACAATAGAGCGCATCGCCTCGCTATCATGCTGTTGTTGATTGTCATCTTGTGGGCACTGAATGGTACTGCAGTAGAGGGCATTGCCTCCCTTTTTCATGCTGTACTGTTGTTGTTTGCCATCTAGTGGTCGCTGAGTGATATTACAGTAGAGGGCATCGCCTCCATATATTGCCGTTGCTGACTTGCATCTAGCAGACACTGAACGGCATTGCAGTAGAGGGCATCCTCCCCATATAATGCTGCTGAACAACAACAAAAAGCAAAATTCAAAGAGTTGTAAACCCCCAGGCGGAGCTACCGTAAGCCGGGGCTCGAACCTGCTCCTCAGTGAAGGTAAACCTTATTTAGCGTCACCGCCCTGGAACCAGTGTGCACCCCCAGTAGTCAAAGAATTCCATCCCCCGTCGGAGGCTTTTTGTTGCCTATGCCGCTGCCACCTTGTGGCTGCGGGTTGGCACTGCAACGAAGCAATTTCTCCTCACTGCACCAATGAAGCGTGTGCGTGCAGCTGCGTCGCTGCCATTTTGCGGTTCCCGAGTGCCGTTGCAATGTGGGATTTTTTTCTTTTCCTCCTGCAATATATTGCAGATGTGTGTAGCTGTCTTGTGGACACTTGAGTGATACTGCAGCAGAGGATATTTTTGTTGTTGTTACCTCGGTGTAATGCTATAAATAACCCGCCAGCTGGGCGAATAATTTGTAGGTGTCGCTGCCATCTTGTGGTCACCGGGCGATGTTGCAATTGGCTGGGGACGTTTCCCCTGCGTAATGCAACGTTGCCCCCTCCCCTCTGTACTGCTGGAGGAACCTGTTAAAGCCTCCGGTGGAAAGCTGGTAGCTCGAAGGGATGCTCCGTCTCCGACTGTTTTTTTTTTCTCTCCCTTTTTATCCTCGCCGATTCTTAACTTATAAAGTTTTGTGTACAGATGTGTATCACGTGTGCTAGGGGCGAATGACATATATCACTGTACCTATGGTTTGAAACCCATTCAATAATCTACCTCTTCCATTAAGTGTTTATTTTATTATTATGATTGTTTGAAATTTGTTAAAATGTTGTTGTTTTTTTTTTTTTTTTTTCCTAAATGTGAAAACA